ACCACACCCCAAACCAAGAGGTCAGATATAGAGCACTGGTTACTGAGTGACAAGGTTACTCAGATGAGCCTGAGAGAAAAGAGATGAGCCTGAGAGAAAACCGAAGACCAGGTCCTGAGGAAGGCAGAGTTCAGAGTCACGAGAACAAGAGGAAAAGCTAATCAGGCCGTAGGTGGGGGAGAGGCCAACGTCTGGGCATGAGGCCCCCTCCCTCTCACCCAAAGTCCACCTGATTTTTCTTTAATAGATATGGAAGCCTCCAAGGTTTCTGTTTTTTCTAAAATGAGTTTTGGTAATTTGCGTTTTTCAAGGCCCATTTTTATCTGAATTGTTGGATTTACTGACACTGGATTCTTTGCAGCGTCCCCATGTTAATCTCCGAATGCCTCCAGGGTCTGTAGGCTACCAGCTCTTTCACTCCTGATACTGGCCATTTGTCTTTTTTCTTGTTCAGTTGGCTGGAAGTATCGGTTTTACTCATCCTATCTGTGCCTTTTTAAATTGCCAATTCTAATGGCTTGTCTTTTAATCAAATAATTTCATTTCCCCGCATCTTTTGCCACTTTATGAGTCTTAATTTCTTCTATATTCCTCCCGCTCTCGTCTAGTTTTCTTTCGTATTATTCACAGCTCTTTTTTGTCTTTCAAAGTTCTGCCCTGGTCCTGTGCTTTTTCACTGTACAATCTCCCCCTCAGCAAGACAATCTCCATCATTTTCATGATTTCCCCATTTACCGACAAACTGACAACTCACAAATGTGTATCTCAAACCTGGCTTCTCCCTCTATTTCTGTTTCCAAGCTTCTTCTGTCCATTTAAATCTATTATTTCTACTTTCAGTTAATGAAACCATCATTCCTCCTAAACTTGAAAACCCTGAATCCCTCGTAACTCCTTCTCATCCCTCAACTCCTCCATCCAACTGGTAACTAAGTGCTACTCTCTAACGTGTCTCTCTATATCTATGCACCTGACCTGATCCTTTCCCCACCATGTAAACCAAAAATAAAATCCTAAACCCCACCAAATCAATTGAATGGACTCCTCCTCTCAGCCAAGGGCATTCTAACATAAACCTGAAATACCAGCTCAGAATGGGTGGTCAGTCATGCCTCATTATCCTTTTTCCCCTTTCGAATTCAGGCACAGCTGATCAAAACTAACATGAAAACAGAGATCTTAGGAATGAGACAACAGACTCTTTATAGGAATAAGATACCAACATGACAGCAGGCACTGAAATAAACTGAAGTATTTTAGCCCAAAATATATTTCTTTGACATATTTTGAAATGGTCCTGCAAAGCTGTCTCTTCTAGGAAAATTCTACATTCTGTGGTGAATCCCCTTCCCTTTCCAGGCATTTTTCCTGATCCAAGAAAGAATTAACTAAGAGTCAAACATCTTTTTTTAAGTCTGGTAAAACAAATATTTACCATCTATTCCCTCTAAAGCCTGCTACCTGGAGGCCTCATCTGCACCGTAAGAACCTTGGTCTCTATAACCCCTGTCTTAACCCAGACACCATATTGACTCCAAGTCTTTAGATAAACCCTTTCCATCAACAGCCAATCAGAAAATCGTTGAATCCACCTATGACCTGGAAGGCCTTTCCCTGCTTTGAGTTGTCCTGTCTTTCCAGACTGAACCAATGCACATCTTTCATGTATTGATTCATGGCTTATATCTCCCCGAAATGTATAAAACCAAGGTGTAGCCCAACCACTTTAGGCACATGTTCTCAGCACCTCCTGGGGCTGTGTCAAAGTGCTGTTCACTCATATTTGGCTCAGAATAAATCTCTTCAAACATTTTACAGAGTTTGACTTTCTGTCAACAACCTGGATCTCTGTGACCTGCTGCTGCTAGATTTCCAGCCTGTGTCAAGGTCTCCATGATCTTGGTTTCTATCTGTATCTAATTCCTATCTCTATGGATGCTTTTCGCCCATTTTGTACATCACAGAAGTGTAATCAGCAGTACTGTATCACTTTTTGTTTCTAAGTCTGCCTTCACTCAACACAAACCTGAGACTGATTCATGTTACTGTTATGTGAACGGTTCGTTTCATTGCATTGCTGAGCAGCGCCCACTGCGTGAATGTACCCCGGTTTCTAGGAGTCACAACACTTACTGGCGGATGGACATTTAGTGGGTGTTTTGTGGTGGGGGGGTGGTTATAATGAAGCTGTCTTCATTTCTCTCAGTGCATCCCGCTTCTCAGTTAGCAACATGACAGTTAACTGAAAGTGAGTCTCTCCCCAACTTACCTCTAAGCCTCTTTGTCATAATAATACTTAATATTTCTTGGACCCTTATATGTGACAGGAAATGTGCTAAGTGCCTGACGATCATTAGCTCACAATCATCACAATACGGAGCCGCAGACAACACCTTACACCCACTGACAGAGGGAACGAAGCCCTGCAGAGGTCACATTCCTTTCGTAAGTTAACAAAGGGAGCACCAAGATCAGAATCCAGATCTGTCTGATGCCAGCACTGCAAACCCTCAACAATGATGCCACACTACTGCTACATACCTGGTAAATCGTAGGCTCTCAGTTTTATAAAGTCTTTAAAACTTTCAAAATACTTTTCTAAAGAAAGTCAGCATTCACCAAGCACAGCAATGGCTGATCCAAAAACATACAATTTATTCTTCACCAATAAGCCAAGCAGCCACCCCTGTGAGACAATTTCATAATGCACTCTTATTTCTAAACAGCCATTCATTCTATGTTGCTCATGGTTTTGTGAGGCAGAACTCTGGCAGGGCTTGGCTATGCATCCTCACTTGGAGTCTTTCATGTGGCTGCAATCAGACGTCGGCTGTGCTGTTGATATATGAGGCTCTCCTGAGCCAGGCGTCCACAATAGCTTGCCTATTACAGTGGGAACACCTACAGTGGGAACCCAGCTGGGGCTGTCAACTACCCCTCCCCATGTGAACATGTGGCTTCTGCAGACTTTTTATATGTATATGGCTGGCTTCCTCCAGAGCAAGCATCCCAAGAGAGCCAGGCAGAAGCTTCCCAGCCTCACAAGTCCCAGGGCATCTCTTTGGCCACGGTCTACTGGTCAAAGCAGTCACAACCTGCCCAGCTTCAGGAAGAGAGGATACAGCCCCCAAGGCCGGAAGAGAGGAGCGGCAAGGTCACATCAAAGAGGAGCTGCAGGGTGGAAGGTGGTGTGGCAGCCGTCCTTGGAAAACACTGCCACAGCCATCTCCCGAAGACTGCTGGACTTCAGGCACCTGATGGTAGAGACCTTCACCTTGGAAAATTCCGCTTTGGGGTCAACAGTATCCTCACTTACTGAACGTCAGAAATAGGTGGGTTTCACCTGGAAAACTGAATAGGCAGGTTCATTTTTAAGCTCGATTTATCTGAAAGTTATCTTACTGGTGTGGGACCTAGGATTGTGTGTTTTCAGAAACCCCTAAGTAGTAAATGCATACAGTTATAGCCACATAGAACCAAATGAGTATCATCAGATAGTCCTGCAAATTATGTCCTCAAGGGGAACTATAAAGATACCCAAATGAAGTAATGCTTATGGGTATTGTAAAAACTTTTGATCTAAGCTCTGGTCACTGAGTATTGGTAGTTTAAAGAGTCTTGGGAAGGTGACCGTCTCAGTGAAGCTTAGGTCATACAAGGCATGGCTCCAACTGTACCTGGCTTTGCGAACATGCAGCTGAGGGCAGTGGCTGTGCCTGTGGCATATATGCACGGCGAAGTCTTCCTCATACGTCACACATGGCATGATCCCCACTTGGTCAAAAACAGTTATGAGAGTTGAGCCTAGATCACAGAGATAAAGAAACATGTTCCAATTTGATCAAGAAATAAATTTGGGATGTCAGAACAAAATGCAGTTTCCATTCTAAATTATACTTTAATTGTTCTAATAAAATATGTACACAATACATTGAGGACCTGGAAACCATTCTTATTTCTCATTCCCCAAAGCACCATTCTGGGAGTGAATTTTCAGTGTTCAGTGTTCAGGGGACCGGAGGTGGTTGGGCGGGCCTTACCTAGGCTCATGTAGGACGGCACGATGAGAAATATGAAGTGCAGCTCTGGCACTGCCTTATACACGGTTCTGGTGAGGAAAGAGAGGGTGGGGCTGTGTTAATAATAAAGCAATCCCATCAGCTGGCACTTTATGACGACAAATGCTATCGCTAAAAAGGTGACGTGTTCCTCAATCCAGATGGGCTCCTTTGCTCCCCACGGCAATGTCAAAGAACAGCCTCAAGGCAATTTCTTTTTCTTCTCTACTTTTCCTTGGGTTCTAAAGGGCCCTTTTTGATCTGTCCCATGGAGGCAGAGAGAATAAAGGGTACCATATTCATATGGCACACCAGATTTCTGCTAATATTAACCTTTGACCTGGCATCTGGACAGTCTGGTGTGACATTACAAAGTGACTTGAAAGCAGAGGCCACCACTCCCGAAGGTCTGTGCAGGCTGTCAGAGGCTCTCTGAGACACATCTCCATGACTCAGTGGCCCTGCTGGTCATTTTGCACACATCTTATTATTCAGGATGCTTCTGAAGTCTGTCATGTTAATAAACATTTCTAAAGATAAGATTAAGAAAAGCAGTTTTTAGAAATGTCCAAGCCTATGATGCTTAGTTCTTCTCCTTCTCCCCTCACCCCAAATCCATTTCTTTAAATTACTGCACTACCTGTTTGCCTCAAATGATAATGGTGTGCAGAATGGACAACAGATTCAAGGAATTACCTTCTTTCAGAACCATCACTGCTGTTCAAAGCAAATACTTTAGTATAGCCACAAATTACAAGCAAATTAAACACCCCAAAGAATTTCATGTCTTATAAAAAATATTTCAAACTACCCACACTGTCTCTTTCACGTTCACCACTGCAGGGCCCCATCCACTCACCGAAGAATCTCCTTGCAACAGCCAACAGAATACTCATCCACGGCCACAAAGAGGTGCATGAACAACGTATTCAGAGGCTGCAGAAGAAAAGAGAACACGGGTCACAGGCCGAGTCAGCATTCAGGCTAGGCCAGAGCAGGGTGGGAGGAGGGTTTCAGGGCAGCCACAGACACAGAGCGGCCTGGCGTTTAGGGAGGATATTTGACGTCTAAGTGAAGCGACACTCAGGCGTCATTTCAGCTGTCTCACTGACTCCGTTTGCTGCCTTCTGTCCTCCTAGCTCAGAATTATTCAAGAAAACAGGGACTGTAAATGAGTCCAGAGTGCCCGCCCTTCCTCCTGCCCTCACGAATGAGCTGTGGGCAGGGAAGAGCCTGCAGGGGAGTGAAATCGATTATTAACTCAGTAGTCTTGTCCTCAGGGGTGTCTATGCCAAGTGAAAGACAATCACCCTTTTCCCGGTGCTCTTGAGTCAGCAGCTGCTGCTCTATTCATGTGACAGGAGGGAGAGATTCTCTTATGAATTTGAAAAATGGAAGGCAGATGCCACGTTCTGGATCCATTGGCTTGTTTTGTTCAACATTCCGAGTCAGAATCAAATATTACTCTTGGGAGCCAGAAAACCTGGGAGCTGAAAACTCACAATAGCAAGATGCTAACAGGATTTCCAGTTAAATTTTCCAAGTTTTAAAAGAGCTTTGTGTGATCCTTCTGCAGACGTTTTAGGTGGCCTAAATAATAAGCAGCAGTTCAAACATCCACACATTGGTCCACTCAGCTTGGTACCCCTGTGCTTACGAACAAATCTTCAAATTCTGGAAATAGTCAGATGTTGCCTGGTTGACTGGTGAGGGTGTTACTGGCACCTATATCAGCACAGCAGGCTGCTGCCTAGGTTTCTGGGTTTTTGAGTAGTATTCTAGACAGCTTTGGGAGAGCAAAGACACTTCTCTGTGCCTTAACCCCCACTTCTGTTGGATGGTGTGTGACTCAGAAGCACTAGGAAAGAATTGTTACATTGTTACATTGCCCTAAAAGGGCAAGAGGAAAACCATGTTTTGATTCATGAGCTTGAAAACTCCCAAAAGGCAAACACAAACCCCAAAAGTCCAGATAACTATGACAACAACATGATTTTAAGCACTTGCTATATATTCACTCATTTTTTTTTTTCAGAATTGAAAGGTCTCACATATTTATTACTGAACCCAGGCAACCAAAGCCTTCTTCTTCTTTTTTTTTTTTAACATGAGTAATGGAAGCACTGTAGGTCATACTAACACCTTCATAACAGATCCAGAGAGGAAACTGTTCAAACTTCTCCAGATAGCAGTGACATTTTTCAGCTTGATTTGGTAACACGATTGTGACCTTCAGACAGCATAAATATGTGTGCCATCGCATGTGGAATTTCTTACAGACCCAGCTTGGTTCTTCTCCAATGTCTCCTTTTGGAGTTGTACCTGATTTTATTACCAGTTTTCATCCGAATCCACTGGGGAATGGGATGATTTTGCTTTTGCTTCTTGGCCAGGAATCGCTTAATCCTGAAAGTCTTGTGAGAAGACATGTCAAGAAACGGAGTAAAGCACACACCACGACGGCAGAGAAGGAAAAGAGAGAGCTACTCACTCACTGAATCCCACCATAATCTCACTCCACATCTGACTTACACGCTGAGTAGGACTAGCCTGAGGAGCACACGGCTTATTACTTGCTTGATTTGTCTCTCAAATTCTCTCTTCCATCAGAAATATTACAACTCAAGATGCATTTTAGCTTTAAGATAAAAACCATTCCTTCAGCTACAAATACCCCAGGATAGGTAATACGTTAAGGCTTAAGGCTCCACACTGGTGACATCAAACAGAAAAGTGATGCAAGCCACAAGTGTCATTTCAAATATTCTAGGAGATACATTTAAAAAGAATAAACAGGTGAATTGATTTTGAATATGTAATATTTAATCTAATATGTTCAAATTAGCATCATTTTAACAAGTAATCATTATAAAAATTATTAGTGAGATATTTTACACTCTTTTTTTCTACTAAGTATTTGAAATCTGGCATATACTCATACAACACCTCGATTCAGACCAGCTACATTTCAAGTGCTCATTAGTTACATAAGGCTGGTGGCTACCACATTGGACGACCCAGCTCTATACTGTCATAGGATATAGCTTGAAAAGAAATAAAAGGAAAATGTGTTTATGAATAAGAGTATTAATTTATAATATTCAGAAAGGTAAAATCATAACCCTAATGCAAATATAAAATAAACACCTATCCGGGGTTTATTCAACTGCAACTCATCAATTAATGCGGCAACCAGTAAGCTGAGAAAAATGATTCTTTGCACTTGAAGAGCTGGATATTTCAAGTGATTTACTAGGAAAAGGTAAGAATAAGATTGCTGGATTAGATACCAAATAGGTCACATCCTATAAGACGATAAACCATAACCTTTGAGGTTAGCTCTTCCCAGACAGGAATTCCTTACATCCTAATAGACAAAAATCTACAGGCTAATTGCCATTCCTACAGAATAGTAAAACGGGCTAGTCAATCAAAGGTGCAAGCACTGGACTGAAATAATCTGTCTGGTCTATTTCCAAGTTTGGGATAATTTTTCTGACAATGGTCCTTGGGTATACAGGGTGGCAGGGTCAGGAGGGAGAACAAAAGATGAGCGGAAGGCACCATCTAGCAAAATTAATGCTGAATAATTTGCTTAGGTGTGTGTGTATGTGGGCACACTCACACACATGTACAAGGGGTGAATTCACTCACACACTCAATCAGCATTCCCTTTTCTTCTGACATCAGGGCTCTGGGGACATGCTGCAGAGTTCCACCACAAGGCCAGGGTGCTGCCCAGAGTTGTAGCCTCTGGCACTCCACAAAAACCGAGGCCTGCCTCTGGCCTGGCTCTGGCAAGCTGCATGCAGGGAAAGCTCAGACTTGGCATCAGGTGCCCAGGCCAGACTCCTAGGAACCACTAACCTAGTGTCTGCTGGCCAACAGGTTGTCATGTGCTGGCAGCTGGAAGACATCAAATGAGCCAAGGTCTACGAGGGCACTTTGAAAATTATAGAGTGTGACAGAAGTCTGAGGCTCTGCTGTCATTATTACAAGTGTAAGTGTGTTGACGGCAGGTGTTCTCCTAACATCTCAACAACCTTGGACACTAATGACTGGAGAACAACATGAGACCTGGAAGTACGCGTCTGACACTTCCACTGATTCCTCCCCTGCCCTCATGAGTGGAGCATGATCTGGGCCTTGCCAGCGGCTGCAGACTTGGCTACTCCCTGCCCTTTCCAATCCCTGCTGGCACTACTCTCAGCCCTCCATTCCTACCCACCAGCTCCCTTCACTTTTAACTGTCATGATGTCATACACTGCTCCGTCCAAAACGTGGAAGGACATAATTACAAACACAGGACTTCCCCTTAAGTTTCAGCATGTTCTAGTAAGCACTGGATGTGATTTCTTACTGTGCATGGGATATCACTGTCCAGCTCCCGGAACACGGACACCCAGTCATCCTGCTTGGCAACATTCCAGTTGGGGTAGTCCAGGAAGGTGGCCTGAGCCATGAACTCCTCCTTGTCATTGCAGAGGGTAACAGCAAGGTTTGCCTTTTCTCTGCAGAAATGATTAAAATTGCAAACATGAATAAGATTACAAAACATAAGGTAAGGACATGTCACTTTTTTCCTCAGGCTACTGGAGCTGAGCAGCCACTGCATGAGGCCTGATAATGCCAAAGGTGGGAATGGTATTGCAGCAACTGTGGGGTACATCGTTCAGGGCAACTGAGGGGCACGTTGTTCAGGGCAGGTGGTTCTGTCAACGAAACCTGTATTTAAAATTACATTTTGTTAGAAAGGTATTACATTTATGATATTGAGTATCTCCTACCTTTCCCTTGGAGACTGGGTAGGAAGATACTTCACTGCACAATTTTCCCTATCCTCTCCATGTTGAGAATACCACTGTGATGGCCTAAACGTCTATGGTTAGGGTGGCCAAGTGTCCCTCTTTACCCAGGACTGGGAGTGCCCAAGATATAGGACTTTCATGGCTTAAAGAATGTGAGTCCTCGGCAAACTAGGATGAATGAGTTACCTACGCACAGTGGTAAAGCTAAGAGTTTAGCTCCATCTCGGTTACCATTCCCAAGCAATTCCTCTAAACTGTGAGTCAATGTACCTGGGTTTATTGATTCATTCATATGGAATCTGGGCACCTGGGATATCACCTACCCACGTGCAGAAACCGGGACTCTCAGGGGTCTTGCTTAAGCTAGGGTAACCCAGGGAGTTAATAAAGTGAAGGGAGGAGAAGCAGGCCTTCCAGGCTTATTCTGGTGGTTGTCGCAGAGGGACTATCTTGACAATCCCTCCCAACTGCGACCCTGTCTTGTGGCTCATCAAGGCAGCAAGACTTAAAGACACTTAAAGGCAGCACATAGTTTACCACACCAAGAACCATCGGTGCATAAATTTAAACGCATTTTTTAATTTCTCAGTGAAATGAAATCTACTGGCATCTTAAGTTGGAGGAAGAAATAATCAAACATTCATTCAAAACACAAATAAGGCAGCAGTTACCCATGTTTCTTCCTGAGAAGAACAGGAAGAAGCAAGCATAAAACTGGAGGAAGAGGTGGAGAGGAGATGACGGGGTGGACAGAAAGTGGCATGGGCTTTCCAGGTCTGTTTTTATCACAGAAGGAATATACTGTCAGTGCAGACAAGAATGAGAAAATCTAAGCAAGAAAAGAAAAAATACATAATTTGGAAAATCACATTTATACCCACTTTCAGAGATAACCAGCCACTGTCAATACTTTGGTTTCTGTCTCTCTAGACTTATCTTTTGTGAGGGTAACTATATATTGAAATGTACATCCAAGAGGTCGAGACCATCCTGGTCAACATGGTGAAACCCCGTCTCTACTAAAAATACAAAAGATTAGCTGGGCATGGTGGCACGTGCCTGTAATCCCAGCTACTCAAGAGGCTGAGGCAGGAGAATTGCCTGAACCCAGGAGGCGGAAGTTGTGGTGAGCTGAGATCGCACCATTGCACTCCAGCCTGGGTAATAAGAGCGAAACTCTGTCTCAAAAAAAAAAAAAAAAAAAAAAAAAGAAATGTACATCATATGTTTTTTAAAACTGAAATCTGGCCAAGCACCATAGCTCATACCTGTAATCCCAGCATTCTGGGAGGCCAAGTTGGGCAGATCACTTGAGGCCAGGAGTTTGAGACCAGCCTGGCCAACATGGTGAAACCGCAACTCTACTAAAAACATAAAAATTAGCCGGGTGTGGTGGTACACACCTGTAATCCCAGCTACTTGGGAGGCTGAGGCAGAGAATCGCTTGAACCCGGCAGGTGGAGGCTGCGGTAAGCAAAGATCGCACCACTGCACTCCAGCCTGGATGACAGAGCAAGACTCCATCTCAAAAAATAATAATAATAAAAAATAAAAATGTTCAAAAATGGAATCCCATAACCTATACTATTTGTAGCCCGCTTTTTCCCACTTGACAGTGTACCCTTTCACTAGAGCAGGTCACCAAACAGCAGTCTTTCACACATGCACCTCCTGTATTTTTTTCTTTTCATTCTTTTTTATTTTGTTTATTTTAGCACGTCACTGGGGCTTGAGTAGTTTTTTCTTTAAATCAATTTACTTTGGGCTTAAAATTTTAATAGGAAGTTTACATCATTACCATAAATGGAAAACCATTATCTCTTGCTATAAATAGAAGGTAACTATAAAAATAAAGATGTCACATTTAAAACAAAAGTTTTTCCTGCATGCAGCAAGTGAAATCCCCCTGGGTGCCACCAGATGTATGATCATATTTGGGAAACACTGTGCTGGGGATATCAGTCTCAGTGCCTATAGCCTCTGTCCCATCTCATAGGAAGTCACAACAGCCATGTATGATCACACTCCTCAGTGACAGAGGAATGAACCAGGACTGGACCTGACCCAGGGGCCTCATGTAAGCACTGGCTATCAAGGAAAGGAGGCGGTAGACTGTCCCAGCTTCCTAGAATACAGTATCCACACGGGGCTGTTTAGCAGGAGGATGCAGCCCCACTACTTCTCACTGTACCCTTCACCTCCTTCTACCTCTAAGGCATCTCCCTCCAGCTCTTGGTCTTCTGGGCTCCTCTGTCCCAGACTCCCAGAGTCATGACCTATGGTACCAACCTAAGAGTGCTCCCTCTAAACCAGATGAAAATATGCACAAGGCGCTATACACTCTGACATCAGTGGTGATAGTAGGGAGGAGGAAGTGGGCAAGAACTTGGGACAGGGCAGTCACCATGCCCTTAGGGAAACAAAAAACAATGTGTTCCCGGAATCCAATTCTAACGAAATGCATTTATCCAGCGAAACCTCAGGATGGTGGCTGGGTTCTGTAGCACAGTTAGCACAATACTATACCACACAGACATTAAAGACTCAATATGCTTTTGTGGGTTGGCCTGGGAAGCCACGCATGAATTAATTTGTTTCAACAGGAAAATGCACTACAATTGCCAAATAACTGACTGTAAAAAGCAACTTTTGTAGCATTATCCTTTTATGTATACCATTTCCATGCCTCATTACCCCTTAGCCACTAGATCCACCATAGCACAGACAAAAATCATCATGGGAACAAAGGGAGAGAGGAAGAGGAAAAGGTAGAGGGAGAAGGTATATTTTTTAACTTTGGATTTTAAACTGTTCTATGTAATAAGCCAAATTCAAACTGAAGGAGCCCTATCAATACACATACACACCCACATATGTATTTCACACAAAATGGAAATGAGAGCTCTTTTCATTAGAGCAATGCCTCATTTATTCAACTGCTTCAGGAAATTTTCTAAGTATAGCCAAAACTTACTTTCCTTAACTATACCAGATAGAAATCTTAGTGAAAGAGCATGTGACTTTTCTGCTTGATTTACCACCACCACCACCACACAGAAACCTCAGAGCTTCCTCACATCCACTGTGCATGAACTGCAGCCTGGACATGGTTCCACCCCTCATCGCCACTGTGCTATGTGCACTGGGCGCAGGGGATTCTTTTAGCCCTTTCTCCACTCATCTGCCATGCCCAATGGCTCATTTTCTGCTCTAAAATTTAGCTGGATTTTTAGGTGAGATCAGTTTTATTCATTCCTGTATCTCTGTGGCTGAACAGGCAGTCAATAAAACAAAACCAAAAACAGAGGCCACAAAGAACCACCATTTTTTTTCCCAAATGTCTATAAATCATTAAGCCTTGCAGTTGGCATGGCCAGGGGACCGGAGCTGCCTGATACAAACAATGAAACACTGCGCGGGTTTTAGTAGCAGCTGCTTTGGAAGCTTCAGGACATGGATGAAAATTTAAATTAGCTTTTATTTCTGAAAATATGCTGGTTTCCAAGGTAGATTGCAAACTTTCAGTTATAGAGATCTCATTTTAACTTTTAAAAAAATGTTTGTGGTCTGAGCAAGGGGAGTGCTAGAGTTACTGAGATAGGGAAAATGTGGGAAGAGTACACTGAAGGCAGGTGAAGACCATGCCTACTAGGTATCCAAGCGTTGGCATTCACCAGGAAGCTGGATAAACGAATTTGGAATCTAAGAGGTTCTGTCATCAATGTTAGATGTTTTTCACATTTATACCATAAATTCACCCAGAATTAATTTTTTAGAGTTTTGTATTACATGAGGTTGGTTATTTTCTTTTCCATGGGAATAACAAACTCTCCCAGCACCATTTATTGAGTGGCATATCCTTTCCCCACAAAGCCATCATCAAATTTTCACATAGATATGGGTCTGTTTCTGGGACCTCTATCCTGGTCCATCTGTCCTTTGTCGGTTCCCTGGAAATTGCCACACTGTCCTGATTACTATACCTACAGTGAGTCTCTAGTTGGCAAGTCTCTCCACTTTATTTTTCTTCCTTATCCTGAACCTTTGCTTCCCCATATAGATTTAGATTTGTTAAGTTTGACAGATAAGATTTTGATGGGGGTGGAGGGAAACTGACTTTATGATTTGTATGTTCCTGTCCAAAACGTGGTACACCTTTTGATACACCGTAGTCCCCCACCTATCTGTAGTTTCCTGGCCCATGGTTTCATAGCTACCTGCAGTCAACTGCAGTTAGAAAATACTGAATGAAAAATTCCAGAAATCCACAACTTATAAATTTATAATTGCATGCCATGCTGAGTAGCAAGATGGAATTTCATGCCATCCCACCCCATCCTGCCCAGGAATTGTCCAGTAGGTCCACACTGTAGATGCTGCTGCCCATGAGTCACTTAGTATTAGATCTGATAACTGCCCTCTGTTACCAGATTGACTGTCACTGCATCACAATGCTTTGGTTCAAAGTGCAAGAGAAATAATGCTGGCAATTCATATACGCCAAAGAGAAGCCATAAAGGGCTTCCTTTACATGAAAAGG